ATCCATTATAATTTATCAGCGTACAAACGTCGTACGTCATAATTTAATTGTAACAGTTTTGATGACTGAACACGTTATTTAAATTAATCGCGGTTGGTCTACCTGTAGCTTTACGACGTTGTATATTTGTCCGTACAACGAAATGGTCTACTACACTCACACACAGAAAATTTCCATCACAGAATAGACAATATATTATTATGATGTACGTCTGAGTTTAAAGTAATCGCTCGGCATAATATGTAGATATGAGATGTATATTATACTTATTTATAATATCTAAATTTCGTTATTGTGCGTTTTCATATAATGTTATATAATAATCAGTGACGTAGCAGGAATTTTTGAATGGGGGGAAGTGGTTTAAGGTTTAGGTATATATATCAGGGACCCCCCAGGCTACGCCACTGATAATAATAAGCACGTAAAAAATAACTTTACCAAATTTTAAATTTTACAATTGCATTTATTACTTTATTAGTATAAACCGTTTACCGTAAGTTATAATAACTTGTGATTATTTTAAAAACTTATAATTTTCGTAAGCAATTTCCTTAGGTGTTATTAAAATATTATTTGATTTTTGAACTGCCTGGTGGATTATGCGCACATTTGAATGGTTTCGTCTTCTCCTTTTACAAGCAACCCGCATGTCAAAGAAAATCTTGCAAATAAAACTACAATATACATATATTTTGAAGTATTCTATATTTACCAACTTATGTAATTACGACAAAATAGTAACATCTTACGTCGTTTAACCCGAATGTAAAGCTTTTTTCGAACAACCGGCGGTGCGCAGCCATACGATTATTAAATTTCGATTTTTTTTTTTTTTTATTATTATTCCAAATCGCTAATCACAATGTAAACGGTATTTATTTTATCAGTCTATTGCATAAGTTAGTGTTGAGTTGTCACTGACCATATTAAATTATAAAGATATTTTTTTAATTAAAAAATTCAATGATTTAGAAAAACTACTTTCTTTCGCTATTGGTTGTTTTCTGTTTTTTTTTTCATTTAAACATTATAATCATTATCAAATTTATAGGTATCTTTTTATCGGCTCGATAAAGTTGCTCTTACTACACCTCAATAACAATATTTCTAAATTTTACGTTTTTAAAAGTTCCCCTTTTTTAAACTTGAACTCAGATCTCGATAATGAACTAGTCAAAATCATCTTTCAGAAATTGCAAAGAATACATAAATATTTCTAGATATTTTATTTTATTCAATCAAAATTAAAATTATTCTTATATTTAAGTAGATACTTACTAAATGTTGTTGTCTTTTGTCTCTGCGTGTCTATTTTAGAAATTAGCATACTTTGGTCAGCTATAATTTTAGTTAGTCAATTAACCGTAACAACTAACAATACTATCAAGTTGATTTCTTAACTATTCATTTTTACAATTGGTCATATTTACACCTGTCTACTTTATCAGAGAAGTATTTTCAGAAAAATTTTATTGAATAGAAAATGAAGTATTTTGAGTTATTATTCGTGTAATTTAATTCTTTACCTATGAACTTTTTGCAAATTTATATTAAATTAAATTTTATACACAGTTATAATTTTAACCTATTTTTCAATGTTTCTCATTAATTTCGAAATGTTGATAACAAATAATTTATTACAGCAATGTTTGTAATATTATTACTTACAATATTCGTATTCTTAATGAACATGTACATTCCTAATTAATTTTAATATAATAAATTTCGTTTTTATTATATTTCTAAAATTATCACATTGCATAGTAAATCATTTAAAAAATATAAAACAATGAAAAAAAAAATACAAAAATTAATTATTATTATTTTTTTAATTTCTGTAAAGATGAAATTTACTGTTATTACACGAGTATAAATTAAAAACTATTACGTAAGAAATTCAGTCATACATTTATTTAAGTCGTGTTTATGACTAAATATTATTTTTGGATTTAACTATATAAATAACTGGTATTTTTTTACAATAACTTTAAGCATACACAATAAAAGTGTACACACAAATGTTAACATGTTATTTTTTTGGTTACACAAAATACCAACATCCATGTTTGTTTTGTGACGATAATTTCGTTTTAAAAGAGTAGATTTCCGTGGTATGTTATTTTTTATATTATCTCCTTAATTGCAATATATAAATACAAATTCTACTTGTATAGGTAATCATTATTAATTTTATATTATTTATTTAACTTTTTAAGTGCAAATTAAATTACATTGAACCGAATGATGAATAATATAGGTCCTATTGTATATGTTCCAAAACGGTAACTATCTAATCTATTAAGAATTAAGGCCTTCAATTATAGGCAGGAAATACACGTTGAATGACTAAAATACCGATGAAATAAATTTAAAAATTATATAACTATTGATAAAAATAATGTGAAGAATTGTAAATAAATTTCCGTTTTAGAAATATTATAATATACATAAATATTTTAACTGTAATTTCTTAAAATGTCATACATCGTAATTTATTATTTTTAAGATAATACGTTTGTTTGATGGTTCTATAGTAAGCATTTAATGTTAATAAATATTGTGTAGGTTAGATTTAATACTAATGTATTTTTTAATACAATTTATAAAAATATTTTATGCTTTTCACAAATACATATTTAAACACATCTCTATATCAATATCTTTTTATTAATTTAAGTGACATGATAGAGCTCGTTTAGAAATTATAGACTTTACATGATATCAGAATAAGGAAGTGTAACTATTCCAAGTTCAATATATCTTGGTTATTATTTTAATGTTAAAATTTAAATATAATTATCTATTATCTGGGAAAATTAAGCGATTATTGTTAATACCACATTTTTATCATGTAAAAATTGGTTTTATTTTAACTTTTACTTTTTGAATTTTAAAAATTATCTAAAATTTAACAATGCTTAGTTTCTTAATTAATATATTTTTTAAAAAATGATTGTAAACAAAATCTGTCTGTATAGTTATTTAAATAATTTTAGAAGAGCATACTTTTTAAATGTTTAAATATTTAATTGCATTCGTTCTGCAGGTATAACAAAACATGACTTTCAATTTTAAAATTGAAAATCTAAGTCGTTATTCAATCCAATATATTGTGCTATAAAGATGAATCCAACTTTGAATTCATTTTTTTCGTTTTATCAAGTTCGTAATACACATAAAATGTTTTGTATTATATCTGTTACATGTGAGAAAATATAAAAATAATATTTTAAGAATAACAATAAACTGAAAGACATATAATATAATACAATAAAATAAAACCCACATAGTACCTCATTGCTTTCATCGACAGCAATACTAAATTAAATAAATAAAAAAGGACCTACACTCAGTAATAATAATGTATAGGTATAAGTCATCTGACTAAAGGTGAACGTTATAAAATCAAACCAATTTGTCTCTACCGGAACAACCACTTTCGGTTCAATGCGATTTTCTTTACATAGAATAAAAATGAAAAAATTGTTTTTATCAATATATTTCTATACATACACCATACATACATTCAATTTTCTAGATTTATTCAAATAGTTTTAAAAATAATAATTGTTTAAGTACAAAATTGGTTGTATGGATAGAATTTCCAATTTTTTTTTAATAAACTTCATGACGTAAAAATGTCGCAAACGTTGTATCTACTCATATAATACAAAATTGAAACCATCGCCGCACAATTTCGACTTGTACAAAATAAATTCAGCGTAAAATAAAAACGGATTATAATAGTAAGGTAAACCACATTTTGTTGGAAAAAATTTTACGCATTCCCGTGACAACATTTTATACTGAATCTAAGTAGGTACTCATATACACAATAATTATTATTTGAACGAAAGTGTACGCGTTTTGCCGTTTTGGTTGGCGATTTTAAATGATAAACATAAAACTGAAAAGAAATCCTAATCCAACGCAACGACCTGTGAACACAATTACAAATGAAGAATCGCCAATAATGACTTCAAATATTATAATTTTCTCTCAGAATAAAATTCTAATAATTAGATCTATCACTGATATTATGTTTTATAATGTGCCGAAAATGACAATATTAATCTAACTATAAATTTCGAAGTTTATATACACACACGTTATGTTCAATATTATTCATATATTATATTAACATTTTAAATTCGTAAACTAACGTTAACTACTATAATTGTAAATCAAACATACACTACGTAGGTATGTAATTGTATGGATGGTATAAATCTGAGCTCGCAAATTGTTATTGTCAATAACATAATTTTCGTCCACCCTTCGTTTGTTATACTATAACCTATGCTTATATTATAGTTAAATTATGTCATGAGGTATATAATGCCATTATATAATTTCATGACGTTTTGATCATAATAATCTAATACATTTATCAAACAACAAAGTAAAATGTTTCAAGATGTTTCGGTTGAAAATTGTTTAAAAATCAATTTTTATACGGTGTTAAATCATAATAGATGTACGTAAATCTTATAAATCATAATTTTATTCTTTAATTGTTATATATTTTTCTCAGTAAAGGTTTAACGTGATATATTTTTTAAATATTTATTGTGCTTATAACTGTACTATAACATTTAACTCGTATATACCTTTACCTATACCTAAACTTACGCGGTCGACACACATAAAAAATTACATATATTTCGAACTTGTATATATACTTGTACCAGATTTATTAACGGAAAACAGTAATTTTCTTTGAGCGTGTGAAATATATAAAATAATTAGCGAAAGTTTCTCAAGACGTATGTAAATAGATTACAACGCGTACTGAAAAGTGTGTATAAAGGTATATATGTATGTCACTTTTGAAAAACTCATACACATGTTGTGTACAAGCTAGTTTAAAATTTTCCAAGAGTTTAGGACGGACGAAAAACTTATAAATAGTATATTTTACTGTTTTGACAGAAAAACGCATTAGAGAGACTAGCGAACTTAGCATTTAATTTGTATTTATTCTCAAACAAACTCACCTTGCGAATGTACCATTTGCTGTAGGATGGCAAGTAGAGTGTATATTATGTCGACTGGTTTTAACATGATTTGGGGAAAAACTCGCGTAAGATTAAATAGAAATAAAAAACCGAACGCCGGAATTTTCCCCCGGTCAGCCACCGAGATGTTTACCTAGCTGTTTCAGATAATCGCATTTTAAAAACGCATACAACTAAAATCAAAAAATTAACAAGATAATAAAACGCAAACGTCAGTCCACTCGTAAAATATTTAGTGTTTTAATTGATTTATATAATTGTTATTAATTTGTATTTTTTTGGCAAACAGCCCACCACTATTTGTTTACGACTAAACCGCTAAAAACCCGTTAAGTTCCTCGGTGGCAGATCGGCGACCGCCACTACCACCACTTTCACCTTCGTGCCCGCAATGTGCGGCAGAAAGCGAAAAACCAAGACGTAAGGTTCAATGTCGTTGTCATAATGATCCCCTCCCCCTCATAAAGGTGCACAGCCTAACTATTAATTAAACAGATGGAAGTTGAACGATATTAACCCGTAAATTGCTATCCGGATAATAAAATAAATATTATACTATCTATACAATATCTATTTGTTTGATATAATTGTAGTTAATTGTTTAGGATAACAATGGTACTAATATCAATTCTATCAATACATTTAAATACAATTATATATATCGTAGAATTCATAATAATGTTCTATAGGTTTGAATAATCTGCAGATATTTATTCAAATTTAGTACAAAATAATTTTGAATCAAATTTCTACTACCTATGTGTACTTTTAATTTATAACCACGCACAATCGATATATTTAACATTCTAAGAATACTTTTAATTAAGTTGTGAAATACGAGATAAGAATTATTTAATAATAAAATTTTTTATAAATAAGTACTACTGTTTCCATAAAAATTTTAATAACATATAATATATTTCATTAAATGTTTAAAACAATTCAAGATTAAATTTTAAATTTCTTAGAAATTTATTTCAGGGGTAAAACCACATACATTTATAAATTTGTATAGCTTGTATATATTTATATATATAACTTTGAAAATTACATATTTTTTTAATAATGATTTTTAATATTAGAAGCAAAATAAAAGATAATGATTAATTTATTAAAATTACTTGTTTCTAAAAATGTCTAATAATAAAATTTCATAAATTAATAATTTAAAAAAAACTACTGTAATAACTTAAAAACTTTCATTGTTTCTTTGATATTCACAATCAAATTAATATCGTTTAATTTAATATGTTATTTTTTTTTAAATATTTAATCTGAACACGCATTTGTTATTTTTTCATGTTATAGGCTAAATAATATAGTGAATTTTTCTATTTTAAATGTTTTCGTTATAACAAATTTAATATTATTAAAAATATATTTTTTCATAAATCAAGATGTATTGTTTATTATTACGAGACATCCATATCCATTAAAATTATATTGTTGTTTAAATAATGTATGGTAATATAATATATTTTTTTTTAATATAAATTACACGTGCTGCAACATTATTAGTTCAGTTGAATATTATTAAATCCTATATAAAAAATTGAACTATATATATTTTTACTTATTAGCTACGATTCTATTCGTAAATTTATTTATGACAACCAAATTTATAACACTAACTGTTTGTTTATGTTTATTTATATTATTATTATTAATAATAATAATAATTTAAGCTTATAAATTTCAAATTTTCAATAATAATTACAATGTTATTTTATTCTACTAATATACTATATTATTACGTCATGTTATCATTTTAATCATTCATTACCATTTATCATAATAATATTTTCTTTAGCTGTACATAAAGATCTATACAATAGTTAAGCTATACTCACATTTTCTTATTTAAAATTATTGAGTTCGATAAAAGAGTCATTTTCTTGTTTTTTTTTTTTTTTAACTTTCTCTTAATCTCCAATCTGTTTACTCGTGTTAATTTCAAGTTAGTCTAATTAAATCAACTACTCTATTTAGTTTATATTTTCTTATTTTTGGTGTATATTTATATAACTATATAAGTACAGCTTATACGTGTAGACTACGTATATAATACATAATGCAAAATTTAATACACCTATTGGCTATTTATATAAAATTACTAACAACAATTTTATTGATACTAAATTCAAAGCGTGCAATAAAAAATTGTTACAAAATGATTAACGAACTGTTTGTGCTATGGATACATTTATTGTTCGTAAAATGATTTCACTATTAAATTATTTATTATGTTTCCTGCAGAAGTCATATCACTTATTACAGTAAATTAATTTAAATTTAAAAATTTAAAACATATATTTTTATGTGAATTCCCACGGACAAATAAAACGAAACACAATCGCTCGTCGGAATTCACATCGTGTTACGTATAAATAGTTATATCGCGATTTTATTGTAAAACAATTTTAATACTTGTACTATGACGTCAACCCCTCTATATATTATAATATTTTTATTCTCACTAGTCACTACATACATATGTTTTGCCACACGCATAGATGTATCCATGGATAAATATTTCCAAAATTCCAATTCTAGTCTTTAATATTGATAACTGTGATCGAGCTTCGAAGGATTTTTGATTTTACAAAATTGTCGCGTACCGGGTGAATCATATTTATATTATCAACAGACGATCATTATCTGTCCCAATAGTTAACTCGTCTCAATGCTCGTTGATATATATCTATATACACTGTGTAATAATAATGAAAAATCATAACACTATTACGTGACTTGATGGCTGAAACTAACACGATAACATGCGAAAAATATTAACCTTGAAGCAAAAAATAATAAGTACACGTTTCGCTCTTGACCGACAAAACGCATTATCATAATGATATTATTTATTGGCAATCAATCGTTAAAAACGGTTCACAGTTGGTGAATCCAAAATAATTAAAACATTTAAGAACATTTTTATCTCGATATATTTTGACTTGCATACGTCAGTAAATTCATACAATTTATACTGTACAGTCAATTCACAATATCTCATATAAGTATTAAAACATTATACAATATAATTATAGTGCTATATTACCTTCATAGATTTAAAAATACATAAAGTACATCATACATTTTACATTTTGATGGATAAAATATGTGCCGAGCTTAGAAAAAATCAAACATACTTTAACTCTGTAGTTAAATATAAAACAATCAATTAAAACTTGTGGGATCAGATATAGCTATCAGTAATGAAGATGAGACTGTTTGAAGTTAGGTTAGGTACAGTTAAGCATCAATTATTTAAAAATACATTAAATTCTACAACAACCATAAGTGCATTTGCAAACTAAATTACCTAGTTTACGACATTATTTGTATGCTATGACGTCATACATATTATATTGTAGGTAGGTCGTACGTATTAACCTATTATCGTATTGCTATTATAATTGCTTACGTAAATATTATATGTGAGAAATAATTCGTCAGATTCCGAAGTCATCCAGTCACTTTTATGTTTTTTATCTTTTCAAAATTATTCGTTAAAATTATACGATTGTATACCTAATTAAATGAACCGACGTTAAAAAAGGTAAATTTAATGAACTGTATAATAACAAGTATACAGCACGGTTTTGTCTTTGATCGATGACGTTCAAAAGTCGAAAAATATTTAAAGCATTAGTTAAAATGTGCACATGTAAACTCCGCCATAAGTACCTTTTTTTACTGTAAACTCCGCCAGAAAAAAAAAAACAGGTAAAATTAGGTTCATGTAAACTCTTGTAAAAAAAAATCAAGTATTAGTATAAAATTAATATAATATATTATTAAAAAAAAATTATAATATAATATCATATCATATCGTTCAAATTAAATATTTAAATCATAGTAAAAAAATCATAATAAATAATCGTTATACCTAATAATGCAAAAATATATAGTTATGTCATGTATGTAAACTAAAATTATGAGATACAATTTGTAAATATTCTAAGTCTTGTATTACTCCATTAGTAAATAATATCATCGCAATAAATGTCAACGTATTTAATGTAAGAAGGCACGAGGCAATGTGAGCACTGAGCAGCTAAACAAAATAAACTGGTGGAGTTTACATTAGACCTTTTATTACTTTTTTATCTTAACTTGTATTCTGGTGGAGTTTACAATCGCCCGTTAAAATAAATAAATTATACAAAAATATTGAAAGAAAAAAACACATTTGGTATCAATTTTGTTAATTAAAATTTGATTAAATTAAAAATACACAATAATATATTTACTAAAATTTATAACACATAATTTCATTTAAAAAATAAAATTCCTCAGTCCAAAAAAATATTATTTACAGACTTGGAGAGTTATATACTACAAGCACTTTGTAACTAAAATATCAATTTTTATCTAAAATATTTTAATTTCAGTAATACATAGTTCGACGATGTAAAATCTAAATAGTAAACTACTAGCATATTTTAAGTTTTAATACTAAAACATGAAAAACAATTTTAATATAAAATTTTAACAGTTTGCTTTTTTATTTTCTGAATACTTTATTCTTTTATTCACAAACTTCCAACATATAAATGTTTAATAATATTAAGCTAATATTATTTATTTCAAATAAGAGCATTTCTTTTAGTATAACGAATTACGAAATACATATTTAACAATTCAAATAAAAAAGCATGTTATGACGTTGGTTTGCTAATTAAAAAAAGGTATTTATGTATAAAAATATAACAAACTGATTGAAAAGATTGCTTATCAAACTATTAATATGTACAAAAGAAAAAGTCATACTGAAAAAAAAAATGAAAGTAAGTGGTTACCGCTTAGTTGTGCAGTAGATGTCAAGTATGGGTCACCGTGAATGTACCTATCAAATTTGAATTTAATGACATGAAATTGAATACAAAAAATGATTCTGAGCAGAGACGATTTATAATATCACAAAGTATGTTTAATTTTATATTTTTAATATTGCTAATAAAGTAGCTTATTTTAGTATAGCAAACATTGTTATCAATAGTTAAAATATGTAATTTCGTTAAATTTGTACTTTAAATTCTTATAAAAATAAATTGTGCAAGTGTATTTTAAATATTTTTGTATACCTATAAGAATAACTTATATAAGATCTTGAATTAAATTTTCAAACTCTTCGATTTTCTTTTTTTTTTTTTTTTTTTTTTTAAATGTTGTTTTACTTGATTTTTTTGAAAAATGTTGGTGAATTTTATTTTTGACACCCCTAAAATATAGAATAACTTCGATTTTCTATCAGGAACCACTCTCATTATTATCATAATT